TATTAAATATTTTACTTATTACTACGAATGAATTACATATTATATTTTTNGATTTGTACATAAAGTAAGCAACATATAACGCAGAGCCTCGCGATAGCAGGCGAGAGTTTAGGACTTCACGCTTTTAAATTTATTATTATTCGTTAGAGGAGGAATAGTTTCTTATACTTTATAGATTAGGATGACAACAGGCTTAATTTGATGTTAGTTAATTATTCAGAATCCGAATTAATTAGTATTGTAGACTTTGGACAATTCTGTTATGGCCCCAAGCTTTAAGAAACCCTCCTCCCCATCAAATAATAATAAATTTAAAAGCATGAGATCTTGCATGAGACTGTATCGTCCTTTAACTGTAGACTATAATGTTATGACACGACTTTTACATTATGCAATTTTAAACAAATAAAGGACATTCATAAGTCACTGCTTGCCCAGAACCTCCTGTAATCTTTTATATTAGAATTTATATAAAATTCACGTTTTTAATTAACAAAATTCTTGAAAAAAAAAGGAATTTTAAACGATCTTCGAAACTTTTAAACTAGAGTAAAAAATAAACTTTAAGAAATTTTTCGACTTTTATTTATGCCTCTATGATATAAATTTAATTGTTAAATTAATTAAAATATAATTTAAAAAATTAAGTAAACAGAATCAACAAAATTTAGAAAAAGAAATTAATTACTTTGAGTAAACTTCATTTAATTTTCGACAAATTATTGAGATTTATGCAGTAATTTCTGCAGAATATTCCAGCACTAAATTTTCTCAAAAAGATTTTTTACTTTTACAATCAACATCTAATTAAACACCAAATACAACAGATACCGGACACCTCTCTTTTACGATCTAATTGGTTTATTCAAACTGTCGTAAAGCGAGCTACAATTTTGACATAAGTTCAGCGTCATAGATTGAGATTATGTTCTTGAAAATAAACAATTTTAATTGGGAAATAGCACGCGGATGGTCAACGAGACATGTTGAATTTTATATAATCTTAATAGAAAATTAACACGCATCGTAAAAGCAGGTTTCTAGAGCGAAAGGTCGTACAGCGAGGTTTGTAAAGAAATATGTCGTAAAGCGGAGTGTATTGATCTAAATATAAATTTAAGCATTAAAATGATTCTGAATTTCTCTACCAATTAAATTTAATCACTTATTTAGTTATTTTTAAATATAAATTTAATATTTTATAAAATAACTTTTAACAATGTTTTTAGCATATTATTATATCATAAAAGAATTTAATTCTTAAGATTATATGCAGATTATTCAATAAATATTTTTGATTATTTAAGAACTAAAATAGCACATTCAGCTTAAATGATTGTTAAGTAATTATTTTAAAAATTAAATCTGAATAAAAATACTTGATCAATATTTTAAAATAAAACATTTTACACATAAAAAAAAGTTAATAGTTATATTTTGTAAGAAGTGTATAATTTTAATATTTTTTTTATATTAAATAATAATAAAGGAGGAAAAATTATTGAGAAAAGCAAATTTGGTGTAAGAAGGTTTTCTATTAACACTCTCGCAACGTTATTATAACTGTTTTTCGAGGAAAAATAAAAAAAATGCTAACTTATAAGTGGAAAATTAAAACAAAAATAAAAATAGAAGTAAAAAATTTTTTAAAAAATTAAAAAATGCTTTGTGTAAAAATTATTAAAAAATAAAAAATCGAAGTAAAGAATGAAAATAATGAAAAAATGGAATAAAAAATTGGAAAAAGGAAAAGATTAAAAAATTTAATCGGACTTCATCAAAAATAATCAATACCACGGCATTATATAAGAAGAAAATCTTCAGAATATTGGATCCAATTGATTCCTGATGAATAGTATTATGTTCATTATAAAGCGCGTTAATGCTAGATACTGTTATTATACAAAAAAAATTACTTCTCACTTTAAATTTTCTTAACATTTTCTTGGAAGAAATTTTACACTTTACTAATTTTAGTGTATAAATATCAATTTATATCTTTGTACAACATGATAATTCGTAAGTAGACTAGTTATGAATTACCAAGTAATTAAATATTCATTTACGAAGCAAATTGTTAAAATATATATGTATATAAAGCAGTTCATATAATCTTGTTTTCTCTGTTTAAAACTGTTTTTAAAATAATAGAAAGAAGTAATGGTAGGCCTGATCCTTCTTTAAATATACGAGGGTCGTTTATTCACTGGAAAATTTTATTTTTGAGGTATTTAAAATATTATTATGATATAAAGAGTTTAATATTCACATTTCTTACACCGTTGTGTATTGTTTAATCTTATACAGTATTATTATATATAATCGAATAAGTAATTATATAAATTGCAAAAGAAATCGATATGATGCTCTTTCATCTTCATTTCTTCAGTTTCCTAATACCTTTAATATAATACCTTTAATATAAGTAAATGAAATCACCCTTTTCCTGTCTCCATTACTTTGCCTGTGTATGAAGAAAAATATAAAGTAGATAATCCGTTTAGCTTTAACGATTTATGGATGGCGTCAGAGCGACTGTACAAACATGGCGCCGAGACTCCATTTCATTCCATTACTTTAGTTTATTCTATTTTTTTTTTTTTTGATTCCTTCATTTTAAATTTTATGATCAAAGTTTTAAAATTTACGTATTTAAAAGTAGTGAAGGTTTCATTACTGAAAGTTTGAAACTTCGAGTAAAACGGGGGGAAGCTGAAACTCATTAGCTAATTATAAGTACTGTACACAAAAGAAATTTTTAAATTTTAAATGTTTTATAAGATAAATATTTTTTAAAGGATAATATTTTTATCGATTGATAGAAAATTTTACCAATTATAATGTATTTCGTTCGCTATTCACGCATACACCATAGTCGATACCCACCAAAATTATTGCTTAAACAGAAGCTTGTATCTGTCCTTAAAAAACTAATCAATAAAATAATTATTATTATTTAAATTTAAAACAGAATTAAGAATATTCAATTAGGAATTTGTCGAATGTAATGTCCCATCGATGTCCGAATGGATAAAACCACTGGACACTGAGAATCAGTCGCGGGTTCGCGGGTTGCTCTCGTGGAGTTTCCCAAAAGAAGATGAGGAAACATTCCACTGAATTTTGTGTGTTTTCATCCTGTTATTTACAACACGATTATAAAATCTGAATTTAAATTATGCGAAACAAGTTTTCGATTCTTAAAACTATTGCTAGTTTAATTAAGAGTTTAAAAAAATCACTCGTTTTACGATCGTATGAAGTCGAACTCCAAGGAATTAATGAGTTGTATTCAAGACCATAAATTTTCGGTTGAATAGAAGCTTCATAAAAGAGCATTTTAGAAAGGCGTGGAATTTCGGTTTACTGGATCCAACGTAATCAACATACTCATATTTGGCAAGCAATTGTATTAAAATCGATTGATGTAACTTACATAAAAATCTCGAGAGATTTTTAAAATTAAGTTTAGTAATTATAACGTAATCTGTATATTTTATTATTAAACAAAATTCACGTAGCATTATTACAAATGACAACGTTTTGAAGCGTATTTTAAGCTTAATCCAGAGAGAAAATTAACTTAAAATATACATAATTTGTAGACGGACATAAAAGTTTATTTGACGCTTTCTTAATACGTTCTTCTCATACGAAGGAACATCAACACTAACGAATCAACCTTTGTAAAATCTTCTCGCCCTTTTGCGCGTCTTTTAAGTACATTTTCGTCCTAGATTTTTATTTTTATATAACTTTTGCAAGATTCTAACACCAGAAGGACTTTTTAAAGCAATTTCACATACATGTAGGCGGAGAAAAGCATATAAAGATTGACTACACTACTGTTTAATTGCGTTTGTGTCTTTATACTTGTATACGTCTCCTTTGCTAATAATTAATTTATTTCTACTACTGTTCAATTGTTTCTGTGATTTTTACGTGTTCTTCTTCCACTGTTTAATCGTGTTTCTGTATCCTTTTATATATGTTCACAAGAACACAATTAAACACTAGTGTAATTATTTTCATGTTCGTCTCAAATTGTGTATAATTTAAATATTTCAGCTTTCACAATATTAAAAAAAGGGAACTAATTAGTGTGAAACTTTATAATTGCGTTCCTATGTAATTATTTCGACTTTTATCGACATTTTATTAATTACTCCACTTCTCTAATTTTAAATTAGCTGAATGCTTTATTTATTATCCAGGGGATTATAGTTAAATAGCGTTCATTTTACAAAATGAGAAAAATATTTACATATTTCATTTCTAGAAGCGTTAATTTCTAATGAAATTTTGGAAAAAATAATCATTAAAATCAAACTGAATCAATTGATAAATAAGTAAATTCCAACATAATTCAAATGCGTGATTAATTTCATTTTGAGTTATATAAATGGACTTTAATGAGGCATACAAATTCCTCTTAAAAATTCCATCCTTCTTCATCATTTGAAGCTACTTTTTTCGATAATTTTTTTTATTAAAGACTTAAAATACCTCTTGGAACTTATTCGTATGAGAAATATAAATATTTAAATTAAAATCAATTATCAAAGTCGAATTTGCACGTAAACTACAGTTTAAGTACTCACGCTACGAAGATCCTTGCTTCATCCTTAAAAAGAAAAATATAATAGTCTATGTATTGTCCATTACTATTAAGTGGAAAGGCCTATTATCTATTACAGTTTAGGACGACAACATTACTAAAATGTTTTTTGTTATTCTATGGAAGGTCCTCATATATTATAATAACTTATATAAGAGACCCTTCTACAAAATAACGATGGATAGTACATATTAATTTCTTTAGGTCCCTAAAGAGTCTAAATTAGGCCCGGTTATTATTTAATCGTCTTACGAATTTTGCTTTGTTTTGTGTTTAAGTTCGATTATAAAATTGACGAAACGAAATGCATGTGCAATGCCACGAAAAATAGAGATATATGACATCACTATACTAGATATTATGGGCAATTTATGAGACTTACCTGAAATCTTTTTCCATATAAAGAGAATAGACACTTTGACTATCCACATCGTGCTTATTTTGATTATGGATAATTTCAACCGAATCTGTAGATTGGTCTGTGGTTCCTCCGATTTTTGACGATTCTGTAGTTGGACTTGCAACAGCAGTTTCGGTTTCCTCGTCTAATTTGTTCTCTTCGGGAAGGTGAAGTGGCTTGGATGCTGGCAGGGGTGGAGAGCAAGGATAATCGGTTAAGCTGGCAGATAATGAACTCTTGGCACTGTCGTCTATGTAACGTATGTCTTTTAGTTTTGATTCTAGATTTGTTTCCGTTTCTTTGGGTTGGCAGTGAGGATTGAAAGTGACAGTGGTTCGACCGCCGAGTTTTTCCGAAGCGGTGCGCCTCGATGGCAATACGAATTGCAAACAGGTGGGTTCGACGCACGAGTCGGATTTCGGGCGATCCTTCCTGGATAGATAAGGTAAACCTGACACACTCGGAGTGGACGAAGAGGGCCAACTGTCGAGTGATGTCCGGCTGCCTGACGTGTACTTTTCTTCAATATGGCGAATTGCTTCAGCAGTGACGGCTTCCCAACCGTCTAGGTATGGATCGGATGCGTCACGTTCCATTTGGCACATGACGTATTCAAGATAAGGCCGCGCGTAAGGCGGCATCGGGGATTTAATTAGGCGGCATCGGGGCCGCGCGTGGGGGGAATGGATGAGTGAATGGAATTCTCATGTTCCGCTTAACAAAGCAACGACGACGAGACGCTAATCGTTCCATGTCACACTGTAAAAGGCCTCGTGGTCACTGGCACCCTGCAATAAGAAAAGATGGACACTTGTTGAGTACAGCATAAAGCGGTTTCCTAGGTAACAACACTGGATGAGTTGTCATGGTAACGGTCATGCCAGAGGTGACAAACAACACTGGCGTCACTGTGGGGCAATAATAATCTCATCTCTTTACCCTCTTTAATATTCTCGTATGAACTTTTAATATATTAATGAAGATTACGAAACTATTCATTACGTAAATACGCTAATAAAAAATAAATTTATTGCTATTATCTTAAAAGTTACCATATGTTTACTTCAAATTATGCTTAAAATGCATCTTTCAAACTTTTTAATTAATATTTTGAAAAACAAAAATAATCTAGAATTAAAGAAGAATAGGTAAAAAATTAAGAATACTTTTTTATTTCTCTTAAAACAGGATAACAAGTATGCATAATCAGTCATATTTTTACTTATAAAATGTAACCCAAAAGTCAGTGAACCGAGATGTTAAAATATTTTATAACTCGGTTAACTAACTTTTGAACCATTCTGTATATGTAATACAAATAACTGATTATGTATAAATTGTATAAGTGTACAATCTATGCATGTATGTATTAAATATAATTATTCAAATCATAAAAAATTATTAAAATTTTCTTTAAAGAAGAAAAAAATAAAGATAATTAAAAACTTCTCATTAATTTCTTCAACTGTTTGACGAGGAAGAATGACTTCTATTAAAATTATAAATATTCAAAAAATGTTTGGAACTCGAAGTTATTTGAAGAAGAAAAAATAAGTAAAAGAGAGTTGGATCTAAAGGTCAAACGAGTCGAATTTCATAAGAAAACTCTTCAGGGACAAATTCTTATTCGTAGTTTTTTAATTTTCTTATTTTTCCTTAATACATATGCATATAATTAATAGTTTTTTTGGCATATAAAAGGTGGCACAAAAGTCAGTTAACCGAAATGTTTAAATTTATTAACTCGGTTAACTGAATTTTGGCCTACCTTGTATACATATATAAGTTACGTTTTTTACATATAAAGTGTAGCCCAAAAGTCTATTAATCGAGACAAGAGAATAAATAATACATGTAAATTTGTAAAATAATAATATATGTTAGTTAATTCGGTTAACTGACGTATTATTTTACAAATTTAATTTGTTTTCGGGAATAAAAATAATTGTTTTTTTTTTCTTTTAAATTAATATTAAAATATAAATATTTTTAAAAATTTCAAATAAAATAATAACAAAGAGATTTAAAATATATTATTAACATTTATATAGATTTACACTCGAAAGAAATTATGCAAAATACGATGAATAATTTTAAAATATGGATATAAAATAATTAAATTGCGCTAAATAAAGGTAATTAAATATGAAGTAGTAAAAAGTTACATTTTGTTAACTTATTATTTAATTATTATTTTTAGTTTTTAATAAACAAATACACCAAATGTTCGTAATTAAAGTGCCTCTATTCAAGGATATTTATACAGATATTGCAGTCTAAATGGAACCAAATTTGGCGTGGTGACATTTCAACATACGCGGAAGACATTTCCAAAAAGAAAAAACTTTGTACTAAAACTCGCCACTTTTGGCGTTTTGCATCTTATTCCGTGTGATTTTGGTTGTGGGGACACTTAAAAAGCGTTGTTTATGGAAGAGACGTTTCCAAACTTGGTAGGTTTTAAAGACAGTATCACCCTGCACGTGAGAAGCATCGAAGAAGATTAAGTAAACACGCCCATTCACTACCCTCAGAATGGGGATGAGTAGTATTCCTTGAATTGCTGTATAGTGCGTATGCATTGCATGCCCGAGGCAAGTTTTAGGATGGAACGAGATCCTATTATGGCGCCCCCCTTGGTTGCCCCTAATTTTTATACCCTTTAATTTTCTTTACCACTGAGGCGCCCCCTAGGACTTAGCGGCTGGAGCGGCTGCTCCGTTCGCTCTATGGTAGGGCCCGCTCTGTGCGTATGTCTTGTATAAATAAAATTTTCGTTGCTTACAATGCCAAAAGTGCCACAGTGCCGAGTTTTGACACTAATTTTTTATTTATAGAAATGTCTTCTTCACGTGCTGAAAGATAACAGATTTGGTTTCATTTTGACTTCCAAACGTTACTCTACACAGTTTTGAATAGGTGCATTTTAATTCTTTTAATCTCTTTCCATCCTGTGGACACTATGGGAGCCTTTATAGTAAACCAAGCCCATTAAGGGTGCGGCCAGGCCCACCATGTCGCTGCCAGGTAATGAGGGAAAGAGCCAATCACCCGGTATCAACTTTAAAAAAATTTAAATAGTGTACGACATTGTAATTATAAAATTAATTAAATTGTAATAAAAATATTAATGAATATTATTTTTATTATATTATTTTAAAATCGGGTTAAAATTACGATGACATAAATTTGTTATAAAATATCAAAATTGAAAAATTGATTTTATTAACTTAATATTTAATGTATGCATGTTTTTAACTTTAAAATACATTTGAAATTTTAAAAAGCAGTTAAAATAAGTTATTAAATTATAATCATTTTATTAATTTAATAGACTAAAAACATTGATATATAAATTATTTAATTATTATAAATGTGCATTCAACATTTATATCAAATTTATTAATATTTATAACTATTCAAATTTTATTATCGAAATTCGAATTTATTTTCATTTTTAATTAACTTAAAATGAAATTATAATTTGATAAACGTTGCCATGACATCCCATTATAATTATTACATGATTACTAAATTTACAAGGTAACTTTTTATTCAATTTGTTTAATGGAATACTTAAAATTTATTAAAGTATTTTCCTTTGTTTTTAATTGTTTGCTGTTTTCGAGATATTTTATTTGTTCATTTAATAAATAATAAATATAATAATTAAATATTAATCAATAAAATGTAATATTTAAAATATTTTTAAATCTTGAATTAGTGTCTTCATATTATATTTGAACTTATTATTATTATTATAAATCAGATGAGCAGAAAATCAATAAAATAATGTTTCTACGAACTTTTTACATGATAAACAGTTTAAATTTAATAATTCGATTGGCGGATGGACAAGCTAGTTAAGGGATCAACTTTAAGGGATGAACTGTGGAACCCGAGATCTAACTCTGGAGAGAAACTTAGGAATTATATAGGGTAGGCCTATGTCCCTCTCGTCACCCAGTCACCCTAATTGTGGGCGCCCACTAATGGTACTAAACACTATCACCAACAGGTTGGGTACATGCAGTCTTCTAAATTTTCTTCACGTATCTAACATTTAAATGGGGAGACCAGTTTTACAAAGAAAATCCTCCCTGGAGGCGCCCTTCCTTGGCAGATAACCTATGTGCTGCGTTGCCCACATTCCATCAAGCCAATCTAATCTTCCATTATGGGTCTGGCCAACGGTGGGTATAGAAAAAAAGCGCTTTTAGTGTCCACTGAGCGGAAGCGTTAAAAATGAAAAAGAAATCAAATAATTCGAATATTAGTAATTGAATGTATTTAATTTAATTTATTTCAATGAAAAATACAAACTTAGAAATGAAAAATTATTATAATTGTATAGCAGGCACTACATAATTACAGTATAGTATAGTTATAATACACTACATTACACAATATAGTAAACTAGTTGCATGAGCACGGCGTTGCTCGGATTTTTGTGGATTGGTGAGATTGAGTTGGGAAAGAGTGTAAAAACAATGGTCTTCCAAGTTAGCAACTAAAATGTACATTTATGACCTCAATATTTACAATAATGAAACTGTAAATCACAAATAAATTGTTCGGGCTAACCGAGATCATGTTTGTCCCGTAAACTTAATATTGTACCTTTTCCCCTTTGCCATGCCCGAACTACTGCACGTTTCTCAAATATCTCTTCAGAGGCACCATCTACAGGATAAAAGCTTTAATTTGATACCTAAACCGTATTTTTAGCCCCAGCCGTTTACTCAAACTAAGTCGTACAAATTGAAAACCCTCTTTCAATTAATATATATATATATAATATAATATACTACAAAACGACATTCCCGAATCGTCCAAGTAAATGTCATAAATTAAAAACTGTTAAGTAAAAATACAGTACGTCCCTACTGGGAGACAAAATACTGACAAAAGCATTAACTGGTATTGATGAGAAGAAGACATTCTAATTACGAGTGAGAAGTGAGGAAAAATTGAAAATCCCGCACACTCAGATTAGACCGCTTATGGATTCAATCTCCATTTTTTTCTTCACCCCACCAAAGGCCAAGTGAATAAAACCATTAAATACTACAGTAAACCGTGGGTTTTCGCAACGGACTGGCCGCGTGGAATTTTCCTCCCAGGAGAATTTTCCTCCCTTAGCAGATCGCCACGTGTTGCGTTGCCGTATATCATCAAAACCAAACCAATTATTTTCTTTTATTTCCATTGTGTATTCGGTGAATAATTTAATCAAAAATTTTATTTTGTTTATTTCATTTACAGTCCTATTGGTTAATAGGTACATAGGTGTTCTGTATCACTTTAATATTATTTGGAAAACGTGAATAGAATGACTAGGTTATGCCGGAATTCCCTAAAACGAGAATATTATTATTTATGCAGTTTATTTTTCAAAATGAATTAATTCACATTTGATATTCATTTAAACAATAATCCGAAATTACTTATTGCAAAGGAAATTCTTAAAAATTATTATCCATAGCATTATTTTCAAATACTTTGCATTCTCTCTTTATTCACTCAACGAGCTCAGCAGTGGTTGAGTGGATAATATTCTAACAATAGATTACAGTATTGTATTTTTAATATAATTATTTTTTTAATACTTTAAACTAAGGGTCTCTGAGATGTCTTGTATTTTGTAGTATTTATATATCTTCAAGAGGAATTAAATCTAACATTTTGTTAAAGAAAAAGTTTAATCAGTTTTCAGCATGATACATAAAGAAATATTTCAAAGCATGTTTTTCATATAACTCTAACAATAGGTTCAATACATAAATGCATATATTCAAAACACGTCTCTATTTTGAATCGAC